GTGTGTGTGTGTGTGTGTGTGTGTGTGTGTGTGTGTGTGTGTGTGTGTTTTGGTTGCCTGGTATAAACTGATATTTGATCTACACTGGCTCTGAGGTTGGGCATCCTTAATTCCCTATATACGACATTTCTGCTGCCAGCCTATTAGCAACATACAGTTTTAAAGGAACTGGTTGTTTCTTCCATCTTTATATCATGTGAGGACTGTCTCAAATAGATTGACTGACCTTGCTGAAAGTGATTCTAGCAAAGTTACTGAATATTTCTGTCAAAGATGCTATTTGTACAAAATACGTCTGGATGAAAGTAGCCTATTCCCAATCTGTAAAAATATGTTCTACCCCGACTGCTTAATCTCTATTTTTTAAAAACACGTTATCAACATTAACATTAGCAATTCAATGCATTATCATTTGTCATAGAAAGAGCTGTTCTTCTAAATCAGGGGTGTCAAACTCGATTACATTGAGGGCCACATCAGGATTGTGTTTCACCTCAGGCAGCCAGGGTGGGCATGAGCAGCTCAGCACCACTCGTGTCGGGGGCGCCTGTTGTGGCCCAAGTCCTCTGCAAGCAAAAAAGAGCTCTTAAGCTCTGTTTTCAGCTGCAACAGCTTCCTGCAACCTTTTGTTTTTGCTGGTAGAGACACCACCATCTGGTCCTTTGCTGTTTCCAGGGCAACCCCATGGGCCAGATCTTATCACCCCACAGGCAGGATTTGGCCCCCGAGCCTTGAGTTTGATACCCCTGTTCTAAATGAAGCAATCGTTTTCATTGTCATTAGATGCCACTGCATATTGTTGTGTAACAGTAAGAAAAATGCAAATAGGTATATTCCAACAGTGGGTCTGAAACAGGTCTTGCAAAATTGTTTAAACCATATTTGCTCAAAATATTCAGCATATATGGAGCTCACCAGGAAAAAACTCTATTTGAGAGATGCATTGGGTAAGATTTAATGCTTTAGAATTCCCAAAGATTAAATTACTCAAGTTTCCTACTCCGTACTGTGTGCTAAATAAACATTTTTTGTGACTGCACACATTCTTAAAAGGAAAACTTTAAAGAGCAAATTGTATCTTTATGTCATTTTTCCTTCTTGGTTAATTTGATCTGTTGAGAACAAATGCTAAGATTAATTATAATATTATATTTGTGCCCTACAGTGAAAGTACCAGGCTGTGTTGTCGATGGAAAGTTCTACAGTGTAAGTAATTTTCATTAAAATGAAGAATTGCACCACTTAAACAACTAATTCAAGTCCAATGTTAACAGTGTTTTTCCTGTAGGAGATCATTTTTGCTTCTCTAGTTTGCTAAAGGTTTTCAGGGATGACAATAGTAAAATTCTTCCTTTTTGAAAATATAAAAGCCTGCTCTCATTTGCATTTGTCCTCAACCTTATCATTATTTATTTCATATTTCTATCCTGTTCAACAAATGTAGTTCCTTTGTAGGAATACCACGAAATTAAAAACATTATGCAATCCATGATTAACCAAAACTACAATATACACCAGGATGTTGAAATCATTAAGAGTGAGAACAAAAGCAATTATAACGCAGCACTCAAAATCACAGGAAGACCACAATAAAAATAAACGCCAAATAGTGTGAGAATTATTGTAAAATAATAATAATAATAATAATAATAATAATAATAATAATAATAATAANGGTGGGCGGTTAGAAAATTTTACTACTAACAGAGATACAAAAGTGGGCGGTAGATATAAAAAGGTTGACTACCCCTGATGTAGAATCACTGAAAGTTCACAGAACTCCAGAAACCGTCCTTTTATAATAGATAGATTTTGGAAAGATTTTATGCCTAGAAAACTTCATAGTCTAACCCTTGGGGAAGGTTCTTTGGTACCAGAAATTCCATGGTCTTGATTTTTTTTCAATCTTTCTCTTTCATTTTTCATTTAGAATAGTTCCATGATTTAAAAGAAGCTTCAATTAAATGAGTAAATCAATGCGTACTTATTCAGAGATATTTATTTTACAAGTACCTCTTGTATGTTTGCAGCATCTTCTCTGAGTGCCATAAGATCATACCCCCGGATTCCTACTTCCAAGGCTGCCTCTATGATGCTTGCCGTATGAAAAATGTCTCCATGCAATGTTCAGGATTAGAGATATATGCTTCTCTCTGTGCCTCTAAAGGTGTTTGTATCGACTGGCGAGGGAAGACCAATGATGAATGCCGTAAGTTCTGGAATATCAAGGCATCTTACTGTGTTTGCTTATTATATGATAATTTCTTTCTTCCTTCCTTCCTTATTTTGAGCTTTTTAAATATATCTTCAGTGAGAATTTGGCATGACACTCAAAAAAGTGATGCCGAAAGAAAAAGGGGTACTAGAAAGAAGCTCTGATTTTTTTACCAATTAAACATTTTCTTAATAAACACAAGAATATTCAACCACCATTCTTCCAGATAGACAATGTATTTCATTTAAAACTGTGATATGAAAGAAATATGTCCAGCTTCAGGCACATTTATACAAAAAGTTGGTATGTATTTTTGTGTATGTGAACAAAGCCAAAATTATGTGAAAAATAATAGATGCATGTGGTTGGAATCATTGGATTTTTTAATAATAATCAATTAATAATTTTATAGTCATATTATTCAATTTTAATTAATTATAACTTATGCTTTACACTGCCCATCTCATCTAAATGACTCTAGTCTAGGCAATTTACAGCAGTATGAATGTTCATGCTGTTAATAAATGTTATTGTTGTAGTTCCTGGAGTGTTTTATTTTTCTTCTTTTGTTCCCCATGTGTAAATTGAATAATGGATGGAAAGATAATGAGAAAAAAAGTTGTACTGAAACTTTTTTCCAAATGCAAAATATATGGAAAATCCATTTCTATATTATGATGAACATTTTTCTTTTATCATTTATAGCCTTTAGCTGCCCTACAGATAAAGTATACTATCCATGTGGCCCCATCCATCCTCCCACCTGTGATAACAGGTTAGTAAAGCTCAAAAGAGCTGTGAAAGTTTATAATTGTCGTGATGAAATGAACAACATATTGAGTGTGCATTTAAACTACATAAGTGGAATGATTTTTTTATTACATTCAGAAGGAAGAGTAAGGAAGCAGCTCTTCAGTGAAAATGAAAAGAATAACAAGAGGCTAAGAAAAGGGCAAGAGAAAGAAAAATAAATAAGGAGCTAATTGTGCTCAGATTTAGGCAATTGCAAAGAGCTGCATGAATTAACCATATTCCAGATCAAGCATAATAGCAAAGAACTACCTCCTGATATTGTACACTTACAAATTTCAGAGTAGGGTGATTAAATGGTAGAAGTTACTGTTATTTTGAATGTGCAATTATTTTTCAGAAATCCTGAAGACCAAATGAAGTACCATGGGTGGCAGGGGAGAGGAGAACAAAGGTTATCTTTAGAAAGGGAGGAAGGAAACTACAGATTACTCAGTCTGGAACGTTCTAGAGGCAGATCCCAAAATGGCCAAACACCTTGAAAGCAAAGCCATCACTACTAGAAGAAGTTAGCATGGATTTGGTCCAAAGTAAATCTTGCCAGATTAAACCATTTTGAGTATGCTCATTGGGTAACTTCTGTTGTTCAGTGCTGGACTCTTTATTTCAGCATATCATTTGACAAAGCAATACCTGATATTCTGATTAGCCAACTAGTTAAATATGGGCAAGATGTCACGTCATTAGCTGGAACCACAATTTGCTTTCGATCACTGCACTTTGAGCACATCAGTAGTTCTTCATCAAAATAGAAGGAATCAAGCAGGAGGCCAGTACCGTTCAAAGTTTCCATTAATGATTTAGCTGAATGATTTAGTTATCAGATTTGCAGATGATATAAAACTAGCAAAATGGTACCAAGGGGTTTGGAGAAATTGGAGGAAACCAACAGAATGGAATTTTATAGGAAAAAATGCAAAATAAATCACTTAGAAAGAAAAAAGAATATGCCTAGAAGTATAAAAGGATTGCCTTTTAGAAAACCATGGATGAAAAAGTAGTTGAATTGATCATAAATTGACTATGACTTAGCAAAATGATGTGACTTTTGAAATATAATTTTGGGCTGCATTGTTGCAAACAAAATTTCCAGATCATGTGAAATAATTTTCTTCATTATGTAGACATTCCCTTTGACTATGGTGTTCAGCTCTGGCATCACATTAGATCAGTTAAATTGGAACTGGGCAGAGATGTGGATAGACATGAGCAATGGAATTGAACAGAGGATTAGAAACAAACTTAATGAGGAATGAAGGAACACAACGTATTTAACCTTGAGGAAAAAGGATTGACTAGGAGACATAATATCTCTTCAAACACCTGATTCAGGCCTTTATAAAGAAGCCAGTGAGGTTTATTATCTATCATTTTTAAAGAGCAAGATACAAAACAATGGTTTTAAGATACAGAAAGACTCCATACTAGGAAAAGTGTCTTGATAGCATGAGCACTTTGATAGTGGAACTAATTACCAAACAAAATAAGAATTCTCCTTTCCACTTTATCAGGGAAAATGTATTTTTCTATAGATGCAAGAACAATTCTATGGATTTATTTCAGTCATGGTTTCATAATTCATAAATTTTAACCTGTGTTAAAAATTAGTCTACTGCCATGGGTTTGAACCTCATGGACTTGAGATTCCTCTTTTATCATGACTAGTTCTCTCACAGGGAAGATGAAATGTTGATGATTAATGGCGGTTACATCAATGTGAGCAATTTCAAAGGAAGTTGTGTTGACCATATATAACCTAATTCCTTCCTTCATTCTTATTAGTTGCATACACTGTGTGGTTGTTCACAATGTTGGGTGCAGCTACCATTCTAATCTGTGCTTCTTTTTCATTGAAGTGGTCCTCCACAGATTGGAATAACAGAAGGTTGCTTCTGTAAAAATGGAACCAAACTCTTCAGTACCTACAGAGATATCTGTGTCTCTGATTGTGGTAAGTGTTCTTATTTAAGAAAATCTCAGGGGCTGCCCCAAAGAAGAGGGAGTCAAGCTATTCTCCAAAGCACCTGAGGGTAGAACAAGAAGCAATGGGTGGAAACTAATCAAGGAGAGAAGCAATTTAGAACTAAGGAAGAGTTTCCTCACACACACACACATACACACACACACACACACACACACACACACACACACATATGGTCTTGTTGAATTCGGGTCTTTTCCCGTGTAAGATTGAGATTGTCTTGGCAAAGTTTCAGTGAGGTCTCACTCGCCATTTTCAGGCTGGTGTTTTGGGCTGAATGTTAGCCAATGTCAACTGTCGACCTCTCAGGGGAGGGCCTTCTCTGTGGCTGCTCCGGCCCTCTGGAATGATCTCCCCGTGGAGATTCGGACCCTCACCACCCTTC